CACAGCTGATGATTAGTAAACAGACAAAAATCGCAAGCAAAACAAATTTATTATACCAAATATAAACAAACTGATAACACAATGTTATCTGACATCCTTTATAATTATTTTACGAACTACAGTGCCTGAAGCGGCTCCGTTTGCCTAGTTTTTAGAGTGTCTTCTTTGCATGTGGGACATCGAGGGTTGGAATCCCGGCTGAGTCATACAAATGACATAAAATGATATGAATAGCAGCCTTGCTAGGCACACGTCATTACGATGTTAATGTTAGGGTTGGTCAGCCTGGTGTTAGTGTAATGGGACTGGGTGAGACATCATGCTGAATGATTGATGACACAGTGCCAGACATCACTATATACTGTCACACTGCATAATCACTGAAAATTATTAAAGCTATAATAAAAATCCGAATCTCACACACATACAAAACACGGTGTATATGGATTATAAAATCCATTAAAATGAAAATATCTCCATTTTCATTGAACCAATGCATGATTTACTAATAAGTGCTATTATTTTTTTCTTTAATGATACATCTAACTGTGCACACAATACGAGGAATATTTGTTCGGAATATTTTGCTTTTTTTTTTGCTGTTTTTTTAACCTGTCAGTAGATTAAATGCCAATTGATATTTAAAATTACATAAAATAACATGATCTTCAGCTCCACGCACAGCACGCATGATGCCTGCAAATACAAGTTTGTAACATAATATATGTAAATGAGAGTTAAGCAAATACATATTTGACATAATATAGGTAAATTAGGGTGAAGTAAAACATATTTGACAAGGAGAGCGAGTCTAATAAAAAAGGCAGCGATTAAAGTACTCTACAACAAAATTTATAACCGACCTGGATAAGGTTTATGGATATAATTCTTTCTATCATATTCTACAAGTCTGAGATTGTTTCATCGTTTTAAAGCTGGTCTGGAGTCCAATGAAACTTTCTCTTCTTCTAGAAGAGTGCTGTCTCATACTGGTGAATGCGTTTGTCTACAGTAATGGGAGCAATTAATGAAGGTACTCTATACACAGTGAAATGTATTCCTTTTCTCAGGGATATTTATTCGTCATTTGTTTTTAATATCTTAAATAATCATTTCAAATTCACTGATAAAAGTTTTTGTTGAAAGTGTACTTAGGTTAAGAACGCATAAAATAATGTATAACGATTATTACAGAGATTAGAATGAAGATATTTAACAGATAAAAGTCTACATAACTTTTTCAACAAACATACTCTATTTAGATAATTAGGTCCATTGTCAGTCCTGGGACGGAAAAAAATCCAAAATGAAATTAGATGAAGGAAATTTGGTGATCGAAGATAAAATAAAGTTGGAGCATATAAATATAATGTAAAAAAGACAACATAAGTTAGTATGCTGCCGAGTCTTTCGAACTTGCGAATTCTTATTTGACAGCCGGGACACACAGAAACACAAACATGGGTATTATATAGATACTATAAACTGTCTGTATGAAAACGTTTAACTATACTTTATACAACGTAAACTGGAAAATTTGCATACCAATTATAATAATTATAATAATTAGATCGATTTTGCGCAAACTGTGTTTTTAAGCTGAGTTTGCATTTTGTTGAACTCTCTGGTGGCCATATTACTGATAAATGCTTTGGGAAATTTTATCTGTAAGCATATGTTATCAATATTTCAGAATAGTTCAATTATTAGCGACATTTACGCACGATCATGTGGTGATCTTGTATCTGATATGCCAAGGTTACAAAAAAAAAAAACAAAAACAAACCAAAGACCATATTTAGGATAAGATTTTGATCATACCTGGAATGTAAGTTTGTATGTATCATCAAACTCTCAAAAGAGTTATGAGCACCATTCACTTATAGTGAATAATTGCTGATTGACAGATTGAATGCTGGGCCATATTATGAACTGATTAAGCTTTTAGTCAGGTGAGCTAAATATAAACTAAACATTATAAAAGGCAAAAGACTTGCTGATTTGTTAAAACCCTTGAACTGTTTGGCATTCACCTAACCAACCTGCATCCCCAAACCTTGTCGACATAAATTTGTCGATATTCATAAAGTTGGACCATAAAATCCTTGTCCTCCAAAATACAAATTTATAATTTAGCTTCACCTACTGTAGTTAGGTTCTAAAAACAATCATATATCTAAAATTCTTTAACACAAAAAGTGAAATGCATCAAAATAAGGAAACACATAATTGTTTAAAAGTATAATATATGGTGAACATGCAATTAATAAAATAAAGATGAAAACTGGAAAATAAAATAAAAATAATAATGCATATTATGTAAATAATAAAATTAATGCAAAGAAAATAATCGGACATGAAATAGTTAATACGAAAAATGATCATCGCTTATATTGTGTTCAAAGAAAGTTTGACATAAAATACGTATCGTACTTAAAATCCATCACAGTACCCAAGTTACCATAGCTACATTCATCATAGTTAAGGAAGATATCATGACTTGGAGTAAGTCACACATTTAAATTGTATCACCTTGTTTCTTCCACAATCAAAGCACAAATATGTCTCTTTTCAGTGTAACCAAGGTCACAAACATCTCCAAAACACAATCTGAACGTGGGTGAATTTATTTTTTGGTCATAGCACCACACTACCATGTTCATTTGTTCTTGAAGTGGAATATTTATGGCGGCCAAGACTATTAGAAAAATAGGTATAATGTGTATGCATCCTGGTACCATTGTCTGGATAAATTGTTGCGTGTGCATCCAGTATGTGTCGTGCGTAGATACGACAATATTTTATTGACTCCAATAAAACAACCTTTGCTATATTTTAAATTATAAGATCAAATCAATAAGTCATTCTTGACGACCTATACATTCTGTTGCTATCAGGCACACATTTATCAACCGACTTCGGTTTAACGAAGAGAGTTCTAGGACACGAAAGGCGCAATTTAGTATTTATATGGTTGTACGGTTCTGGCTTACCGCTTTCAAGTGATTGCAACATTTTCGAGAATTCACTTGTAAGATACCAAAAAACAAAATCTTTAAACATAGCAGGAGTTAAATTGTCTACAGTTAGTATTTTTAAATAGAACGTATCCTGCAATATATTTTTAAATAGGAATTGCTCTGTAATGTATATATCCACATTTGTCTTTCTGTGTGTAATTTTAGCCAAGTAGGAGAAGGCTAGTTTTTCTTATATATTATTTAGTATTGCTATGTTCAAACTTTCTTTAAAAATATCTTATCCCATTTTTAAATGTTTTATCTTTAATTTTTAGTTTTTTTTAAAACTTTTTTCCTTATTATGTATTTCATACCTCACCAATCAAAGCTAAGGCATAGAAATTACGTTCCAATAGAAGAATATGATTTAGAAATTGGTATGGAAGTATATTATAAGTACTCAAATGTTCCAGTTTACGTTGTATAAACTATAGTTAAATGTCTTTATTCAGAGATCTTATTTTATCTAAATATAAGCATTCACTTTTGTCTTTATGTGTGTCCCGCCTGTCATCCCAATTTCCTTCATCAAATGTCCTTTTTTTCTCGTCACAGGACTTTCCATTGATCTAGTTATCTGAACAGATTATGTTTATTGAAAAGGTTTTATAGACTTTTATCTGATAATTAGCTTTATTCTAATCTCTGTGTGACAATCATTGTTCATTATTTTCATACATTATTAACAGCGTTCTGAATCTTAGCAAGCTTTAAAAATAGATCAATATTAGTGATAAGTAAATCCTCTCGATGTAGTCCCTATGCACCTATACACACATTCTCAGTCGGATTATCCATTTGTTAAATACCAACTGGTATTCACATTCTGATATGTGGTTTATCCACTACAAAAATCTGCACTTCATGATAGCCTATGTCGAACAATATGTTGTCTCTACTAGTTTTCTCTGATCCAGTCTTAATTAACTTTTATTGAAGTTAATAGAAAAGGAAACACATATTGTATCACTTATGGTAATATCAATGGAATGTCTATGATCACTCCTTTTATATATGGAAAGTAGGTGTTTGGAGATTTCAACCCGAGTCTGATTTGTAACAACCGTCAAACATGCGGTACCCATTTTTTGCATAAAACTAGCAGTTTCAAAGGAATATTTAAGATATTACAAACATATGACGAATAAATGTCTCTGATAATATAAATATCTTTTACTGTGTATAGAGCACCTTCATCGATTGCTCCCATTACTGTAGCCACAGCCTCTCTCCAGTCGGAGACAATGCTCTTCTAGAACAAGCCAAATCTTCATTGGATTCCCGGTCATCTTTAAAACGATGAAACCATCTCAGGTTTGTAGGATATGACAGAAAGAATTTTATCCATAAACCTTTAGTTGAAGAGTAATTAAATAGCATATCGAATATTTATTTTTGTATTGATATCGTTCTCCATGTCAAGTATGTTTTTACCTCACTCTAATATACCTATGTCACAAGCATGTATCTGCAGGTATCATGCGGCGTGCTGTATGTGGAGCTGAAGATCATGCTATTTTATGTAATTTTGTATATCAATTGGCATTTAATCTACTGACAGGTTCATATAAACATGAACGTTTAACACAATATTCCGAACAATTCAAATATTCTTCTTATTGTATATACATTGAGATGTGCCATGAATAGGAAGAAGTTTAATCGTACGTATTAGTAAATCAAATATTGGTTCAATGAAGATGGATACATTTGCATTTTGATGCATATTATAATATTTATATACTCTGTTTATGTGTGTAAATGTGTGATTTGGACTTTTAGCATAGCTTTAAAATGTTTTAGTCATATAGACATTTTATAGTGATGACTATCACTGGGGCATCATGCCGCAGACATTTAGCATGACATCCCACAAATTCTCATTATCATGACACCAGGCCGACCAGCCCTAAAACTAACCACTTATTGTCGAGCACCAAGCGAAGCTGCTATTATTAACATTTTTATACGTCTTTGGTATGACTCTGCCGTGATTCGAATCCGCGACCTCCCGCATCCGAGGTGGACACTCTAGCCACTAGGCCACCGTAGCGGTTTCAGGTTTCTTGAAGTTCGTAATATAACTATAGTGGGTGTCAGAGACCATTGTGTTTCTATTCCTTTATATTTTTAAATATAAATTTGTTTTGCTTGTGAGTTTTTTCTATTTACTAATCCAACCCTGAATTGTTTTTTCTTTTATCTTCGCTAGGGTATTTAATGATGAAACAGATGCCACCTTGTGCTATGTCCATTGTATGTATTGTTTGGAGCTAGCTGGTTGTTTTGGCTCATTATTTTTGTGAGCATCGTTTCAAATGCATGTGTTATTATCACATTAATATACCCTTTTCAATGGTGGGTCCATTTTTGTGTCCATTTGCATATTTATTTAGCAACAGAAACTGACATGACACCAAGGCCTGGTTTCAAATGCATGACTGGTTTGTGCTTAGACATGTTTTTCAAAATGGTAACACCGGCCGAGTTGTTTCGTTTGACTGATATATGGACACCTATTGCATCCATATATATCTTTTCATCCTACAAAGCTGGAAAGAAACCCAAAGGTAATGTAACAAATAAAGCTTTGCTTTCGTTCAAAAAGCATGGATAACACAGCAAGTGACATATTTTCTTTGCAACTTTGCATTATTTGGTCCTATACCCATCTTCAAAGATGTGCAGAGTTATATAGTATTGCATCTTGAATGAGTTGTAACAGGGATGTTTAATGTACCTATGCCCCACTATAATGAGCAAGATATGGGGAACTGATTTATTAAATTTAGGGGTGGATAGACATTTTTCTTGTGATCGTTCCAGGTGTAAGTCTGTATACATGGTAATTTCCTCCACTCCACAGAATGCAACATGATATGAACTGTTGAGATTACACGATATACGTCGGCACAACTACTTTTTTGCCGCAGACACTTCAGCAAACAACTCAAAATTAAAATTACTGAAATTTCATATTAATCGAAAAAACTTTTATACCTTTTTATCCATAGCAAATATATTAATTAACTTTTGTATTGATGTGACATGTGTCTGTACCTTACTAATGTAAGGAATGAAAAGCAAGTGCGTGGGCTAGCATATTACCCCTGGTTTTCGTTTTGTGCCTATATATGCAGTATAATGAAATGTAATAATATGCTGACAAGGATTTAAATTTCTTTTCGATTCGTTTTCAAATGGCAAAAGACAGAAGTATAGCAGTAAGAATTCATCTGTGCGCAAGGCATCTAACATTTTCTGTCAACGTATGATGTTTTGTAGTTTTACGTTACATAAAGCTATGTAAAACTCTCGTTTTATTTAAATGGATTTAATTTACACAGATATGCGTTGAACCGGAATATAAAGCTGAAAAAGGATTCAAAGGAAATTCTTATAAAATAAAAGTTCTTGCGGTACTGAAACCATAATTGAGATAGCTTTCTACTGAATAATTTGGATTCCTACACAAATAGCTGCGGGGAAAATATTCATTATTTATTGTTATACAGCCTTGAGTTTCATTGTTCATTTTTTTCTATGACAAGGAGTTTATTGATTTTAAAATTCGACTATTTAAAAAAATCTAATTGCTTTTGACACAAGCTTAAATATTCATTATTGTTCTAATAATGGGACTGGATGTCTTTCGTTGCGAGATTTGTCTGCTTCAATATAACTTGTATGCATCTGCTTCAACTCAGTTTGACATGCACTATACTAGGCATTAAGACCTGCTTTTATCAACTGGACCTCTATCAAACTGTATTATAATTATCTGAATATAAACCTAGACACGAACCCTCCGTCACAAGGAACACTTTTATGACACGCGACACCAGTGGATGAAGTCACCATAAACTGAGATAATGAAATAGCTGTGTCAGTCATCATGGCAAAACTGTTGAAAGTCTACTGTTTGTTTTTCCTTGGTTTATTATTCTGTTACAACCACCTTTCAAACAGTAGAAAATTACCACCATTCAGGTGCACTTATTGATCGCAAAGACGTTGTAAATTGCTGGAGTATGGGTTGGGAGTTTTTCAAACATTCATGCACTTGGCACACTTTAAAACAATTCTTACAGCTATTTATTCATAACACACTGTATGAAGGCATTGTAATGAAAATTAAATTATTATCCCTAATACTCCATCGTCACAATAAAACTCTTCTGCAATCATTAATGTTTATTAAAGCTGGATAATTATTTACAGATTCAACAGCCCGTGTCAAGGAATAATAAACGGATCACTGTAGGAAAGTTAATATGTATGTACATATTCTAATTATTGTTTGGTACGAACAGTACGATATGGTACGAAACATTTCGCTAACCCAGTAACATAGAAACATTTTGAACAGTTCTTTTCAATGACAGGAACCTGTATTTTTTTAACAGAATATTCAAGGAATCATTAACTTCTTTAGAAGCAAATTAAAGAAGAAAACGAAATGTTTACAACTGACGCTGGGAACTGTTTTGAAACGAAACGAAATCGCAAGTTACTATGCGAAAAGGTACATATAATATTGAAATGGTAAAATATTGTGAGGGGCAATATTAGTATTAGGCATTACAAGTACTGCAGACGTGTCCTTGAATAGTGATGCCAGAACATTGCTATCATCTGTTGCAAATATCTAATACAGTACTTCTGAAATGTATTAGATACCTTTAAAAAAAACCTGAAGAATGTAGTCAAGGTTGTTTTGCACATACAAGTCGTGAATCTGACACGTAGCTGATAAATTCGTATTTTATCATTAATCAATGGCAAGAGTAGCTGCATACAGGACATGGATTTGATAGCTAGAATAATGAGAATACTAGTGTCAGATGAGGAGCAAAAGTATTTAGACTACGTATTAACGCAAGTGAGGTTACATATGTATTTGGGCAGGAGGAAAGCAACGAAAATGAAACATAAAGAACAGATTTTGTTTGTTTATTCTGGAGCGAACTGGTAGCCAATGGAGGTACAATGCAGGGGAGGGGAAAAAACTTACTCAGTTCTTGTTACTCTAAGAATGACCCTAGCAGCTGTTTTTGTAATAACTTTTTTGATGTGTCTGTAGTAGATACTGAGATGAACCAGAGAGCAACGAATTACACTAGTCAAGTCTAAAAAGTAAAAAAGTGATTTTCGCGGCATCAAGAGAAAGAAAATTTATTTTTTACCTTAAACTTACTAAAGAATTATAAATAGACTTTAGTTGTAAGATAAAGTTTTCCGATTTTCAATGCGTGAAGTAAAGAGATCAGTATTGATGTCAGCAATAATTTGCTGACATCCATGATTTACTGATTAATATGCATATTTGATAAAGATCATGTTACTAGCTTTCATCAGAATATTAAAAACGCAGAGGTGAATGTTATTTACAACCCAAGTTAAAGGAAGAGTTATTGACGCTGGAATAAACTGGTTGCAGTTAATTGCAAGCAAGCAACTACATTCCATATCAACCTTTAACAATGCAACATAGAGGAGCAATTGTATCTACTTGACATATTTGGCATTAGAAAAGCAGTATCTCTTAATTACGTTATTCATTTATAAGCAGCCAGAAACAATGCATCCTTTGCTTGTAATCGACCAACATGGTTACAAGTAGAAACAATCATATCAGGTGAGAAATTCATAAATAGCTTGATTCAAATTAATTAGACTTTTGTCTAATATAATTTATCAGATAATAAATTATAATTGATTAGATAATAAAACATTGAACATTTTGAGGGTTTGTGTGTTTAAATCCATTTTAAACACACGATAGGCAATCTGTGACGGCCAATATACTCAGTAGAAGAAGAACCTGTGAAAAGTCGAAGAAGAATGGACCGGCAGGAAGCTACTATGAAGTTTATAGGCTGAGCCGAGATTCAAACTTATGCGGACAGAGGTGAGTTATCAGAGATCTGTAAAGTCGAGTGTCTCATATCACTCTCCCTTCTTGAAAATTGTAGAATTGTGATAACTAGGGTTGGTATTTTACCTGTAAATATCGCAAGTAACTCTAGATCCGAAAAATCCGATATTTTTACTAACATTGTGTTCATTGTTTTATCAACGGAAACTTTAGTGGCGCTAAAGAAAACATTGAACATTAAATCGGAATTCTGTTTGCACTTAGCAATGATGATTAATTAGGAACTGGTATCGAAAGTTGAATCATTACTAAAGAAGTCCTGACGCACGCCCGAAACAATTTTACAAAATAGTCGCCCTCGAAAAAAGGATAGTTCATTACAGTCAAATGTAGGGCGTTTGATGAAAAGTGACGAGTTTTCGCATTTTCATATGGTTCTGGTTATATATAATATACAGAGGGGCGAAAAATAGAAGTATTGAGATTTTATGTGTTTTCCCATCATTTTGACACATTGTTTCTCGAATTTGCACAACTACGACTATGGCAGATGACATATTGTTGTAAATGTTCCAGCACAATATTATGATTGACTACCACATGGCAAAATCGTCCGAAGTTAACGTGCACATAACTACGAAATTATTCGTGGTTGTTCAAAATATGTCCAGAACTCACCCAAGAAAAAGAACACGTCAGTATGGAATAACACATTCCTCTGTCCAATAAAAAATATACGATTTGCAACTTTGTAACGGGCAACTAGAAATTGGAAAAAAACTACATTTTTGTTCTAGGTATGCTTGCTGATTTGAGTTGTATACAACCCAATAATTTATTTTCGTCTCTTCCTTTATTCTTGGTACCTTTTCGGGTCAATTTCAGATTATGGGAACGCTCTTAGCAGCTCGAGGTGCGCTGCATTACCGTTATACAACTCTCTATTACCAACACAAAAATGGTTGTAAAGAATTAGAATGTATAGATACATGTGCAAAATCTTGCGATTCCTTGTCGATAAATCCGACGCTAAGGTTATACTTATTGTTTCTTATTCACCGCTTCACTGGAAAATCTGTTTTGGCGGATAGCTGACTTTAGTGATAAGAAACTAAGGTGTGTGCGCGTGCGTGTGTTTATCTGTGTGTGTGTGTGTTTTGCGTCACTGGA